ACAGTGATCTGATTGGCTGATACTTATTGCTTGACATTCGAGGATTGACCAATCAATATAAGCTGAGGTAAACTTCTTAATTGTATACATCACTGTACATTCTGGTCAATCCACTCTTTTGTAAGATTGCATTGATGATGATAGATAGCATAATACTGAAAACCTTTTTAACTTTAACTTTTAAGAACAATTAAAAATAAGTGGAATTCTTGGTCAAACCAGAATTTTATCTCATTTCCAATAAGTAGGTTCATCAACTTTAGTATAAGGGTTTTTATATGATACCATCGTTGATTGGACCGAATTGATCGGTCTCTATTAGCATATAGGCTCCTGTGTGGATGCTTCGATATTGCCAGCAATCTGATTATGTTTAGGATGGATCCTAAACAGGTTCATCAACTGTCTATTCTAACCGAAAGTAACTGCCTACTAGGTGACACAGTCATTTCAGTTATCGAGTATTACCATCGATCTCTGTGTGTACGTCAGCGATGCACAGCTAAGCCCTATGTGCTCTAGTGGAATCACCTGAAGTGGCGACCACCTGCTCGGTAATCAGTCTGTTTGAAACACAACCTCAATCAGTAAACTGATTCTTGCGTATGAGAGAATCAATCTAGCAAGCTACGAACTACTTGGTATCTGGTTGGTAGTTGCGTTGTATGAAGTAGAACCACTGAAATGAAAACTATTTGGTTGAAATCTAACTATAGTGCAGGATTTATTTCAGTTTCGTCTACAATTGAGCATATGACTTAATTTGTTAAGCATGGCTACCTGAATGTAGTAAGCACTCATTATATAGGTAAACACACACACACACATGCACACACAGAATTATTAACCAATAATAAGTTTAGTATTCATTCATACTAACATGGAAGATACATTTTCTGACCTTGACCTTTATCAGTAAACCATAACAGTTACGTGTGTTGTTTGTAGACATACTTTAATGATTTGATTAGGTTTTCATCTTTTCGGTGATAACTTGAATCGATTTACTTCTCTAAACTCCTTAGAATGTAGACTGTCAATAATTTCACTGAGTCATTTCAAAACGGTTTGTTCAACTACACGCGGGCGTGATGACCTAAGATGAGAGAATAAAGGCACATCTCAGCGAAGTAAATTCCCTTTACGACAGCCGCATTTTTAAAGCCTTCATGTAGAGGTCTATAGGGACTGACTGACTTCAGTTTAGTACTCATCATGGACTGGGATCACTTGCAGGACCATTGGAAATCCATGAGTACTCGACCAATACTTCGTCTCAGTATGGGAGTCCTCAACGGTGTGCCTCAGTGGCTCGACCACGTATCAAACCTTCGACCTCTAGTTTCCCTAGAGAGTATGTCGGCATTAAGGCACTGGATTGGAATTCACTGCTGCACGTTTTCCAACCTCTATCAGTTCGCATAATAGCGTGACATTCATCGAGTTCTCACTAGTCACAAATATTCAACGATGAGATTGGCTGATAACTGAAACCAACCGGATGATCACAGATTGTTCTCCTAAACGGTTACATAATGAGAAGAAGGACCTGAGAGAGAGAGAGAGAGAGAGATTAAACCGGAAATGAATTGTTGTGTAATAAGTATAAAAATGAATCACTCCACCTGAGAGAACAAATCAAGCAATGACTGCTGAAGAATATTTAGTGAAAAATATAATAAAATGAAAAGCAGCTGTTTTTAAAAAAAGGCCATGGTAAGACTATTGATTGCACGTGATCCTTTTAAGCACAAGATCAGGTTCAAAATTTGGATATGCATAAGTGATGCAATGGAAATTGTTTTGAATTCTAAGATGCAACTGCATAAATTACTTTCAAGGAACTAAAGGATATGGCCAGATGTCAAGAAATGATGAGATACTCGAGAATCTCGCCTCTATCTTTTCTGGATAGCAAAGCTCAACAGTATTCTAAACTACATGTATGGCCAATGTACATCGCTCCAATAGAACAAGTAAATTGATGGATGTACACTGCAATCAACTCAGCATAAAGTGTGAACAACATCCAGATTTTCGACTCTCATTCAATCAAATCAGTCAGTGCTTCTATGTAATGCTTCCGAAACTTGGCGGCGCCTCACAAAAAGCACTTCCAACAAACCACACACATTCATCAACAACTGCCAACTACACTCACTCGATACTGAAGATGGAGATCAGATGGCCAGAATACTAAGAATAAGTAAGAAGAAACTCCAGTTGGTTGGCTGGTTGGCTGACTGACTGACTGACTGGCAACGAACCAACCAACAACCTATCACCCAACAAATGTACAGAGGAAGAAGGTCGAGATGGATTGGATTGTGCATACACTGAGAAGACCGATTGTGGACAACACGCATCAGGTCAGGTCAGGAAGTCGATTGGAATGTAAAGGGGAAACAACAAGTTGTGCTTGTAAGGTGAGGGTGACATGGATGAGATGGTGTGAAGAAGAAATGAAAGCTTGTGGATAGTGATGGAGCGAGGTTGAAAAGACTGTGTAGAACAGAGTGGAACGGAGACGTGCTATTGAAACTGTATGTTCTACTCGGAACCCAATGGAAAAATAATAATATAATGATAAATTGACAGTATGCATACAAATGAAGAATATGATAGTAAACAACAAGACAAGACATGAAAAAAATACAGAAGTGACCTTTTCTTTACCTAAGGTCAACGTAAGGTGATTATTTGAACATGATCATTCTGAATGGAAAGTTCGCGTGTAATCAATGCAATTGTGGTAGCTTCAGCAATGTTGAACAGGCGTTGGCAAGCTAAACATTGTAATGTTTTTGGCACACGACGTGTAACATTGAAAGCTTGACTAACCAACTATGTGATGCTCTATGTCTACTAGGTATGCTAGGACAGAATCTTTCATCAATTTAAGTTAACCTTTTCTAAAAGAAACCAGTAAACGTCGTCGTACTTGGAGACGCACCCGCCTAATCGTACATCCTACGTAACTTGCTCCGCAGAGACAGTTGACTTCATATATGCAAGATGAGGAGATATGATTGGGTATCCCTTAGTTTCAGACTGAACTTTGACCAACTACTAAACGATATGCAAAGATGACCTGCATAAAGGGTCATGTTGCCTGCTCTAACTAAGAGTTGTGAAAGGATGTCACCTGGAATGTCTTCCATGAATTGTATTACACTTGATGCAAGCCTAAGAGTTCGATGCTCAAAATGAACCAGGTTGATCGTTAAAAACATAAATCATGTACACAGACTCATTTCAACAGACTTAGATAAGGGAATAAAGCGGTAAGTGATGGAGATCTTAAACGAGCAACATATTGCAACATCCTGTTGAACCAAATAACACCGACGTCTGAACATGTATTTTCCACAAAGTCAGTCCAATAAAAGAGTGTAGGTCATCAGCCAGTGAGGGATATCACTAAGAAGTAGGATAATCATTTCAAATATAACTGAATATGTCATCCCATAATTAGTTCTCTGTATTTGGATTGTTTACCTCATGCTATGAGTGTGCCAACAGTATTATGAAATCAATAAATTCTCACAAACCTACAAACTGAATTACTGTTCACTACCTTGTAATAAGTTGCTTCAAGATGAGTTTTGTCGAAGTTTTACTGAGAAGTTGTGGCCTGTACACCGAACGAAGTTAAATGTGAGGACAGATACTCATCTATAATATTGGATAATGCTCAAGGTATGTCAAGAATTGACGGTGTTAGAAAATTGTGTACTATTTGAATTCTAACTTATTGACTCAATTGTTAAGTGCTTGCGGTAAGACCTGAAGATTATGAGTTCGACCTCTGGAGAGGTCATGAGTGCATGCGTACCCTCAAACAGTCCCATGACAAGATAAAATACGTGTCTGATGATCCCAAATGCTTTTCCAACTGATCTTAGTCTGTAGAGCCCTTAACTGTTGGAAAGTATAGACTTCCCGACTAGACTGCATGTGACAACAGACATCAGCCATTGAACAGTTAAAATGATATGCCTCAGAATCGATCTCATTGACATACATGTTTTCATCTTAATTTGTATTATTCCATTCCTGTACATCCTCTTTTCACTACCTTCCAAGACTTTCGATTCCTTTTTCCTTGCTTTCCTATCCTCTATCTTGATCCTATCTACCTTGATATGCTGATACGGGGTGGAGCAGAGTTTCTCGTTACTCAGTGATGTCAGGTTCAGTGTTGATACTGAATGACTGAATGTCCACATGAATACACTTCCACGTGAAAATACAGTTGCCGGTTTCGAATAACGAAAAAACCCTAGTGCATAGTAAGTCAGAGCCGAGAAGTATCATTAGATTGTGTTACTTGTTTAGAAGTAATTGACAGGAAACCTTGTTTGAACTGGATTTTGTGATCGTTAGCACACGTCAACAAGGCGTATCTACAGTCTAGAGAGAATTGATATCCCTTATGAAATTACAACCTATGTTACCAGCTATTTCAGTCGGTGACACAATCACTAAGCTATTCAGGCCATGGAGTCGATCACTCTCCGGTAAGCAGTCAGTTCAGCACCATCAACTTATTCCGTGCTTCCAAAAATTGAATAAAATAGATAATTCAAATGTATTCTGCAAATTCTTTTCACCTCGTCCTCTGTCTGTCTTCAATACGTTTATGGGCTTCACTGATCGCTTTGCAGCTGATTAGAAACGACTAAAAGGGATATAAAAATTTTAAGTGACTGGTCAGTTAATCAGAAGTTTATCAGTTTCAATTCTTGATCTGTGCTGTTGTCTGGTCAGGATAACTTTAGTAAACAGATTGGGACTTGTGTAAGTCAATCAGGATAATTTCAGTAGCATGTTTCCCAGTGTATTTTAATAAACATGGAAATAGTATACATGTACAGTGCATTAAAATCTGATGAATACGCTTCTTGTCGTCAAAGGGCAGTCTTCTGATATTTAGATGGCTTTATCAAGTGTAGAGTACTAGGGAGAAAGAAATATTGTCCGGGTATGATATACTATTCATGTCTGCGGAGGATAGCTTTACTGAAGTATCCACTTATTCTACTACTACTACTACTACTACTACTACTACTACTCACACTACTACTACTACTACTACTACTACTACTACTACTACTACTACTACTACTACTACTACTACTACTACTACTACTACTACTACTACTACTACTACTACTACTACTACTACTACTACTACTACTACTACTACTACTACTACTACTACTACTACTACTACTACTACTACTACCTTTATCAGTATTATGCAACTCGTTTTGATTATGTTTTGGCCGATTGCAGTTAAATAATATTATTATATTATTTTTCCCTTGGGTTCCGAGTAGGACATACAGCTTCAGTAACACGTCTCCGTTCCACTCTGTTCTACGCAGTCTTTTCAACCTCGCTCCATCACTATCCACAAGCTTTCATTTCTTCTTCACACCATCTCATCCATGTCACCCTCACCTTACAAGCACAACTTGTTGTTTCCCCTTTACATTCCAATCGACGTCCTGACCTGACCTGATGCGTGTTGTCCACAATCGGTCTTCTCAGTGTATACACAATCCAATCCATCTCGACCTTCTTCCTCTGTACATTTGTTGGGTGATAGGTTGTTGGTTGGTTGGTTGCCAGTCAGTCAGTCAGTCAGTCAGTCAGTCAGTCAGTCAGTCAGTCAGTCAGTCAGTCAGTCAGTCAGTCAGTCAGTCAGTCAGTCAGTCAGCCAACCAGCCAACCAACTGGAGTTTCTTCTTACTTATTCTTAGTATTCTGGCCATCTGATCTCCATCTTCAGTATCGAGTGAGTGTAGTTGGCAGTTGTTGATGAATGTGTGTGGTTTGTTGGAAGTGCTTTTTGTGAGGCGCCGCCAAGTTTCTGAAGCATTACATAGAAGCACTGACTGATTTGATTGAATGAGAGTCGAAAATCTGGATGTTGTTCACACTTTATGCTGAGTGCAGTGCAGAAAATCTCCACACTGGTTTCAGAATAATGAATGCCTGTCTTGCTGTCTCTCCGATGCTGGCTGGATTTGACGTCCTTGTGTGTGAATGTGCCGCCTGTAGTTGAAACGACGCTGCCTGTGTAGGTGCTTAGGTGAAGAGACTACTTCCTTTTGGTTTCTCCCGTTAGTAGTGATTGGTGTATTTTGTTGATGCTGTTGTTGCTGTTGGTTGGGTGTCTTCATCACCTCTACCTCTGTCCTCTCTTCATTCATTCGAAGTCCTATCTTTCCTCGCTGCTTCGCCTCTTCTGTCAACTTGTTAGTTTTTGCCTGTAGATATTCGAGTTTTTGTGACATTAAACATAAATCATCGTCGGCGAAGTCCAAAACGTCTAGGATCTTTTCATGAGTTCAGCGTAAGCCCATCTACTCGCTCGTCACTGTTCGCGGCATGATCCAGTTCACCACAATCAGGAAGATGATCGGTGATATTAGGCGGCATCCTTGTCTTACTCCAGTCTTCACTTCAAAGGCGTCACTGAGCTTTTAATTGTGGATCATTTGACATTTCGTATTTTCATACAGCTGTTGAATGAGGTTGATAAAGATTTGTGGCACTCCGTAGTGTTGAAGCAACTGCCAAGTTACTTGATTGAAGTTAAATAGGTAATATGCATGGTATTTTCTGTCTACTTAGATAGATTCGCATCCCATGAACTTACTTGGCAATTGCGAATGATTAGCATGACTTGTATTTAACTACTTATACAAATTATTGGTATGTTTTTACAAACAATAGGTGATTTCATTCTGATATTTTACCGATTGACAATGATTTATCTAGGGTTATGTCTTTCAGTCATCTGTCTACAATTGATTGGTAGGCCTCAATAAGTATTCAATACTTGACAAGTTTATTGGTTCCTATTGGATAAGCTGAGACTCATTGGTCTATACACTTGCCTTCCAACCAACGGGTTATAGGCTCGGTTCACTTAACGAAGTTTTGGCAGCCAAGTAGTATCAGCAGCCTTCCCTCATCCAATGGATATGGTTCACTGTCTGCTGCAAAGTCATGTACATGATTACTGGATGTATTTCAATTTTTCTTTTCAGTGACCGAAATTCTATGCCCAATTCAATACATTGATGATGACCCAAACAGCTTAGTGGTGACGTTTTCTACTTCAGTACTCAATGATTCAGAAACACAAGTTGGCATGATACCTTTTCTATCTTTTAGATGAACGTTTTGAGAAGCGTTTAGGCTCAGATTTGCTGGAGTTTACCGAAAAAAAAGACTAATTTTCTATTGGTGTAGTAGTAAGCATTTTATTTCCTCATTTGTGATCTCATTAATTACTAAATATTCCAACACATAGAACTACTGAGTTTATTTACAGGGAATTCACTAATTACCGTAAATCTAATGACTTTTCTCATGAATTTCTGAGCACCTTCAGTGATTAACTATACCTTTAACTGAAATATACTGTATGAACCGCACACTTTGAGATGATAAAGAATATTTGATGATGTTGTGTTCTCTGAGCTGGATACTTGAATCTGGGGCCACAAATTTATTTGATACGTGGAAGGAGATTTAGAAGCTGAGCAAATGGTGAAAGTATCATTCAGGCGTAGTTTCCCTGGACAATATGAAGGAAACGACTATATTCATTTTCGTGAATAGCAAACTTGAGAGATCAGTTTATAGAAAGCTGGTGAAGAGGGAACATTTTTTGGAGTCAAAGTGTTTTGAGCTGTTTTAGTTTGGTTGTGGCTAAGTGAGAAGGTTATCTAATAATTCGGTTCAATCAACAACAGGATAATACAATCAACATCGTAAAAACTGTATTCGTAGCACAAGAAGTGGTTATCGTGACTCAGCGACCTAGCCTGTAACGCTCTGACGTTTGAAGCGACAGGTTTTCAGTTCGAATCTTCGTAGGAACAACATCGCTCACTATGAAGCAGGTACATTCAGCTTAGGCGTGTTAAATAGGACGAAACGCGGATTCTGAATTTCACTGCTAACCACCATTCATCATTAATATGGTATTTAATAAAAACATATCTTCCAACAGCATGTCATGTATGAATAAAAACTTTTCATTTAAGGATGTACGCATGAAAATTGGCTATCCTGAGACCTTCATTCACAAGTATTCTAAAGGACAAGAGCACAAAGATCCAGTCATCTTTGTTTTCAAGAAGTAAGTTCATTTCAGATTGCAATCCAATTATTTGAATGTTGCTTCGAGAAAGTTGTCAAAAGAATATTATATGCAGTAAATTCGTTGTTGACGAATACGACTGGAACAGTAGATTACGCATCGATCCTTTCCACATTCAATCAGTTGACACTAGTCATTTTGTGTTATGGAGGAGGTTTGTAACAACGGTACCCCAAAGAGTTTAATCACATCTCATCTCTTAGACAATCATCCTGGTGTTGATGTCTGTAGGAGTTTTGAAGTTATCAGTAGAGAAATGAGTATGATACTAAGTTAGAACAACTAGTTCCCTTTTTAAACTTTGACAGAACCATAAGAAGATGTAAATTCTCTGAACTGTGTCATGTACTTGCGCAACACATTTGGAACTATCTGATCACACACTTGTCATACTTATTTATATGATAAATCATTCTGATAAAGGATGAAAATGAAAGGAGGTCAATTAGGAAGGGTGAATTCAAGATAAAATAATAATGAAATTCAATAGAGTGAATATAATAATAATAATAATAATAATAATAATAATAATATACAGTACATGAAACTTGACTTCATAGTTGAATTCACCAAAAGAGGATTAACTGTGAGATAACAAACTGTGATTGAACACACAAAAAGGAAGTAACCACGTCAATCCTCTGATGTGTTTCTCGATAGAAGAACTTAGACATCTGCTACCAATATTTATGGGTTTAAGTGATTCAATTTGCTTTTGAAGCCACTTTGGAATATGCTCCAAGGCTGTTACTTGTATGGATCTATGAGACCTCCCTATGTATTTGTTACCACACGTACTTTTGAATCGGTAGATGCAATGGAATACAACACTTTTGTTCACATGCTGTACTGTAAACCTTTTGGAGAGTAGCTTTCAGTGCTGTGGTTCGATATACTATTATTTTTGCTCTACTGATTTTCATTTTTATTTGATCTTCATTTTAGCCTTCCCACTTGACCTTATTTCATATTTTCACCTCTTATCTTTTTATAAATTTTCATATAAATACCTATGACAAGTACGTGTGAGCTTAGCTGGTTTTTCGAAATAAGTTACGCAGATAAAATGTTACTCAAGTTTGTGTAGGCTTTTTCAATATGACTATCGCATTTCTTTTCATTTTATTCCTTTCAAAACGTTTCGAACATTCATCAACGGAACACATTGGATGACTTCATCAACTGAACACATTGAACGACTTCATCAACACTTTACTATAGTCTAGATTTACTTACCTTTCTTTATGTCAGAAGTATTTCTATCATATATCAAGTCTACTTTTAATCATTTCATTTGGCACCATTTAAACATTTTGTAACATTCTGTTGAAATGAATAGCTACTTTCGATCACCATGTCGATATGAACTTTGAAATTTCACATAAATTATCACGAATGTAGAGTATCCAACATCAGGGGTATAGTGGAATTGTACGAATTTCATTAAATTCTGTTTTCCTTCTATTTTGCACTTGTTTCAAACTTTGAATTCTCTCAGATTTCAGAAACTATAGTGTTCTAGGTGATGAAGTCAGAGACAGCCACTAAGCTATTCAGACGACAACTTACCTCCTAGTGGAGTAGATTGTGCACATAAATTATTCACTAATGTGTAGCCGATTTAGCTGTCTAGAAGTTTACGATTTCAATAAAAAAGAAGAAACGTACTCTAGTTTACTAAGATAAAAATTCAACATATGGACTATTAATATCCTTCAAGTTGTTATTCATCGTAGACTGACATCAGTCGGAGGAACTAAGGAAACCTGGGAGCACTGGACAGCTGTTTCGTCCCACTAGTATGGGACTCCTCACCAGTGCGCACTCACGAACCAACCAGGGATCGAACTCGTGGCCTCCAGGTTCCGTGGCCAGTACTGGTGCTCACTGGTGACTAGCTTTGAGAGGTATTCTCGAAGTTTCAGTGAGAAGTCGTGACTGGTGGGGGCAAAGCCTGGTGGTCGTGAGGATAGTTACTCAACGATGACACCGGGTGGCGGTTGCGCTATATCGTGAGCTAACAGAAGTTGGAAGTATGGACAATTGGATTGTCACCCAGTGGCTAGCTCAATGGTAACGTGCTGGCTGCGAAACCTGAAGGTCACGGGTTCGATCCCTGGT